TATTGAGAACACACTGACTGGCTGACTGATTATCAGCCTGTTTAACTGACTCAGGCCGTATGTTTGCTCAGACAGGAAGGTTTCAGAATTTATTTACACAGTCAGGTCTCAGGTCTTCGGTAGTATTCAGTTTAATTGCTCCAATAAGAGTGTGTGAGGTCCCTGAATGCTAAACTTTCATTTCCATCCCCTGGCCCAGAACTTTTAAGGCAGCAGCTCTCAGACAGGGAGACGAGATACATTTCCATGACCAAGAGAGGAAAAGCTGAGAAAAGCTAAAGCCCCAGCTCTTTCATGAACACATCTGATGCTGATGATGTTGACGAGGATGATACTGACGATGTTGTTGATGCTGATAAGGATATTACTGATTATAGTGATGATGACGCTGTTGATGTTGTTGTTGACAACAATAGAAGAATATTTTCTTCAATACACCCTGTGCATTGCCTGTTCTTGTGTTTTACTTGTTCACAGATGTACGTTGCTTTGGACAAAAGCTCCTGCTAAATGAAAATGTAACACTGACGTAAATATATATGAATCTGAAGATGGGACAGACCTTCGAGGGAGTTTGACTCGACATTACAAACCATCTGAGGACAGTGAAATGTTTGAAAGCAAAAAAAAATCTAACCTTTATGTGTTGACATTTTGGGGCACATTAAAAGTATCTAAAGTTAGCTAGCAATGTCCTTCAAAGTTATTACATGAAGCAGAAATAATACAAGACAAAACCTCCACTTATTTTACCCAATAAATACAGAGACCGATATAGAGTAGAGTCTGGGGCTGTGGCCTTAGCCTTCATAAATAATTATACTGAAAAAGTAAATTCACTTGATATTCGATGACTTTGAGTATTAGGTGAAAAATATAAAATTGGTCCAATAAACATGACTTCACTTATAAAAATAACACTCCTTTCTGCTTGGATTCAACTAAAGACACAGAGTCAGATAATGACACTTAGTATGTCTCTGCTACACAGTTTTCTCTTGATAATACTGCTACTGAGATAAACTTAAAAGAACTGACAGTTCGGAGGTAATGTCTGCAGTAACAAGAAGAGTGAATATGTGATTTTAAAGATTTATGGATGTTTATTTCCAATGAGAAAGTGAAATGAAATGAAAAGTGCGAATCAATTCATCTTCTGTTCATTCACTTTGTCAGCATGAAATGAATCCCTGAGTCATATGTGTTTGTGAGTGAATTGATTTCCTTCTCCTCATGATGTCAAATAAACGTAGAATAACCAAGATTCTCTCAAAAGGACTCTGCAGTTTGGGATTAAACTTGATCCAAGGTCCTTTTTTAAGACAGTCTTCCTGACGTGCCATGACACTGAAACTGTTGCAGTTTGTTGTCTCATTCTTCACTGATTACAACATAGCATGTTCATGTCCTTGAGAAGAAGACACTTAAAAAGATTATTCTCTCCGAACAACTGGATACATGCACACACGACACACACACTCCTGTTTCCTGAACAGTCGCTCAAATGTAAACGTCACACCTGCTCAGGCCAGACGTTTCAGATCATCTCACTTTAAAATCATAATACTTGAAGTAAATTCAATCACAAAGGACGAAACACATAACTTGTAAATGTGTGTGTGTGTGTGTGTGTGTGTGTGTGTGTGTGTGTGTGTGTGTTGTTCGGTGCCCTGCTGCTTCCTTCCCTCTCTGACACTTTCATAAAGACTCCATGGCCGCCTCCTTCCTCCGCCTTTCCCTTCATGCTGCTGTTTTCTGAACTCATCAGCACACAAACAGCTTTTCAGCATCGCTGTCAGAGAGGAAACATGAGCTGACTTACAGATCTGTCTCTTTCTCTCCGCTGTCAGCCAGCAGGAAACTAACTGCTGTCCATATAAATCAGCTTCTCTTCATTACAGTGCCTGTGTTAACTTCACTGCAGTGGCTGCTCGCTGCTGAATGACTTAAATTCCTCAACGCTGAGAGAAGGCACAATCTCTGAGTGTGTGTCACTGTAATGCTAATGAAACAGTGTCAGAGTGCTATAGACATATATCATTATCTGATAACTGCTTTCCTGTTTCACAGAGTTCATTTTGGCGTCATAACCATGACGATCACTCGTCAGAAATTTTTTTTTAATATAAAATAATCTAATCTAATAAAAAGACTTTATGATTAAAGTACCTGTTGGCAAAGTGTCCCCATAAACCCCCCCCCCCAGTTTTTCATCAAATGTAATATATTTTCCCATAATATGAATCTACACATGGTGCATGTATGAACACTACCAGAGAAGAGGTTTATCATACAAATATTTGTATTAAAAAGTAACAAGCCGAGAGTCTGATGACTTCACATTCCTTTCTAACAACATTACAAAGTCTTCTGGACATCAGCAGGTAAAAGACTCATGACTGCAATTGAGCTGCAATAAAGTTTACTCTGACCACATTTTCCAGTGGGTTCCAGGAGTGTTCCTGTTTCAAGCTGGCTGTCTTAAGCCGTCTGGAGAAATACATGTATATGCAAAACCCTAAACTGCACAACGATTAAAATAATACTTTAACTTGGGCTGCACAATAAACAGCATCTTTGTTGTTAAAGTGATAAGACAACACACACGTACAGCACATCTCAAAGGATTTCCTGAAATGTGATTAAAAGAAAAAAAAAGGTATGAATGTTTTGCATTTACACTGAGCATGTGAACATTTGGCGACACAGATGAAACTCTAATACCCTCAAACTGGTTGATGTCAGTTGGGCGGCAAGTAGGTTAGAAAGCAAGATGGAGCGAGAGACGAGTGAGGGAAATGTGGAGACAAAGTGTTCCAAACACAGGAAACACTGATGTGTAAAACACAAAAAAGGCAGAATGGACTAAGGACCTTATTAGGAAGTTGTAAACATGTTTCAATATTTCTTACTATTATATTACTACAAGTCTTCACAATATTGTAGGTTTCTTTATATCGTGCAGCGCTCTCTTTGACGTTTATCATCCTTTGATGCCAAAGGGACACATCGTTTGAGTTCTTCATGACGAGAGTCAGAGAAATATTTCTGTTTCCCTCGTTAAACACTCACAACCTGAAGGGTGAGTAAGCCAATGCTGATAGTTTTTCTAGTTTAAGTCACAAAATACGACTTCCAGCAAATGATAACAGAAGACAGTTTTTACATATCGTAAAATAGACAACTCTGCTGTTTAGCTGCTTCTGTTTACTCAGACATTTATGAGCAGGGGAAAAGAAAATGTCAGACACACAGCGTTAGAATCAACCGACAGCTAACAGTTTGTGGATAACAGTTTAGTAAACCACATGGAAACTGATTAAAAATCCGTTTTAACTGCAGATGTGATCTTAGTGGCTTGTGGTTTGAGTGAACTTCTCGTTTTCTTAAAATAACTAATCAAATAACTTCACCCTGTGCAGCTGACACACACACACACACACAAACACACACACAAACACACTCTCAAACAAACATATTCCATTAATTTATTTTTAGATTTTGACTTTGTGATGTGTTTCTGTCTTTTGGCATGGACATGCTCCGTCCCCCTCTCTGCTGCCGTGAGCATGCTCAGTAGAGCATTCAAATCAAAGGCTCCTTTCAGGCTGCAGATCTGTGCGTGGACCAAGGCGACGTGATATCTCTCTCGCTCGCACGCACGCACACGCACACACACAGACACACACACACACACACACACACAGAGTGGTCTCCCTGTTCTTCCTCAGACTGTCACACACACTTGGTATGAAAACACACACTCCTTCCTCTAACACTCACTCATGTCACCTTCAGCTCAGAAACTTAACAATAACTCTATTCTCTCTCTCTCTCTCTCTCTCTCTCTCTCTCATTCTCTGTAACTGATACTGCTTCACCTCAGGTCGGGGGTTTCTTTTTAAATTGTTACCATGTTGTCAACTTTAAGGGAACTGAATGTCACCTTAAAACATTTGACTCATTTTTCTGTGAGCAGGCTGGAAATAATGTTTCTTTAATGAACAAATAAGAGTCTAGATGACTGTCCCACACCTTAGATAGATAACAAAGCTCAGTTTATACATTTGCGAAAGTCAGACTTTTAAACAGTATAACTAAATAATAATAACATCTTTCTGTTTGAAGTCTGAAGTGTTCAGTGAATAACCAAATAGTCAATTCAGCACCAAATTTCTACAAACAATTAAAAACTACCTAAATCACGTAGTATTCTTAAGACGTACTCAGTATACTTAAAATAATGTTAGAAAAAAGTTACTACAATGTGTCCTTTTTGTATGTCTCCCATTTAAGATGCCTCTGCATAATGAAACTATAATAGACATATAAGAGGTGGTTTATTGTCTATCTATATGTTGTGGTTGTGTACATTTGAAATGCTTTCTTAAATCAGATATGAGAGAAGAACCTCATTACATGATTGTCGAAGCTGCAGAGAGGCTCAGAAGTCGACACTGGTGAAGGAGTATGAGGAGACGTGAAGTATTCCTCCTCTCGCCTTTGTGTGAGTTTTATCAGGACCAGACAGCTGAAGCCTCCTTTTAATTTCACTAAGAGGGTGGAGGGAGGGGCGGGGAGAAGTGAGGGAGCAAGGGATGATCGGGGCAATGACAGACGCCCTGCACGGGCTCATGAAACATTGATGAGGTGGAGGAGGAGAAAGATGAGAAGACAAAGGGGAGGATGGAGGGGTGGATTAACACTTAGTAGATGGACAGAAAAAGACTTGAAAAAGGAGGGATGAAAATGTGGTTTGAAAATGTTTGCGCCTTCCAGACCATGTTAGACACACCCCCATCCCTCTGTTAATCCTCACCCCCCACCTCTCTCACACACACACACACACACACACACACACACACACACACACACACACACACACACACACACACACACACACACACACACACACACACACACACACACACACACACACACACACACACACACACACACACACACACACACACACACACACACACACACACACACACACACACACACACACACACACACACACACACACACTCGACACACACAGCGCTCAGGGGCTCCCAAACCACCAAGACGGCTGCTGATTGGCTGGATCAGGAGAGCACAGGAAAAGAGGGGGATGATGGGAGCACAGAGGGATGGTGGTTTTGTATTGAAAGCTTGGCTGTGTGTTTTAGTTATGTGTGTGTTTCATGTGATTTGATCTCACATGACGGTTAGCGTGCTTTAACTGTCAATCAATCATTGATTTATCAGTGTTTTACAGTCTTAACTGTCATATTCTATAATATGAATGTTAAAGGGTTGAAGCTCCGCCCACAATGCATTTCAAAACAAAGGACTGGAAGCTCCTATCAAAAGGAAAGACCAAAACAGACACTGAATATTAGCTTTGATGAGTCTGATAAATATTTGTTTACATCAGTAGACATACAGCAGAATATTAAAACTTTTGTACAATAAGGACGTTTAAGGAAAAACAAGCTGGTTTTTCATGTATGTTTCAAACATGCAAATCTGGATGTAATTAAATGTATATCTTAAAATAATTGTACAAATTTTGATCATGATCCAAAACCAAAACCAGTGACTCCACAGCCTTTCCAACTTGCTATCCATCATTTAACATACTACCTACAAATATGTCATATATCCATTTACTTTATTCAAAACTCTCTAAATCTTTTAATTTGCCTATCATCCATTTATCATTCATCTGTCTTTCTATCAATCCCTCTATCATGTAATTTGTCTATTTTTCCATCAATCTATCTCTTTGACAGTCATTAATAAACCTTTACATCCATTTAATGTTAATCTATTGATCCATATGTACACCATCCATCTATATCCTTTACTTATGTGTCAGTCATCTTAATGGTGATCCATCTGTCCGTCAACCAATCCATCCATCTATCCATCCATCTATCCATCCATGTGTCTCTGTCCCTAGTTATCTTTCTAAAGATTGATTGTTGCTGTGGAGTGATTTCAGACGAGTTATTCCAAACACTACACAGTTATGTTTTTCAATCCCTCAATATGAATAAACTACAAAGTAAAGTACACCATCACAATGGTCAGCAGGCTTTGTTTTCTATCATATCAGGTCCTAAAGAAGTTCCTTTGAGAATTTAGTGTGTTTTGTGCAACAACAAAGTCAGTAAAAGACAATTTAGCAATTATTGGGGAAAACAAATCACAGACAACCCTCCATGGCTGTTATTCTGACAGTTTTATCTCGTCATTCAGTCTTTTCTGTATAAAAGTCTCCCATGAGTCTCTTCTGGAGGTAATTTGATGACTTGCTTCCTCTGTAATTGCCTGATTTCAAACGGGGGACAGTCACTCAATACTCGTTCCTAACGAGAAGGAAGTGCTGCTCCATTCTTTTTCTGTCTCCGCCCTCTCACATCTGAAGCTCTTTGCAGTGCAATAATCACTGACTGCGTCCAAATTCATCTCCCCACTGGGAATTGAACCAACAGTCGTTTAGGTTACGAGTGGCTGCTCTGAACCACCTGAGCCACATGATACAGGGGCATGAAATGATATCCTCATAAACACCCTCCCAGAACTAGTTGTGTCTGGCGGCTAGCAACTCTGAGAAGTAAAAGCCTTGAGGGAATAAGGGTTTATTAAGACGTGTTTGTCCAAAGTTGGCACTTTTGTCTCTAAATCAAAAGAGAAAAACACTTAATGCCAAACAATCTGTAAGGGCAAATAGAAAACCCTAAATGAACCCTAAAATGAATTGTTCTAGATTTAAACATTCACTAAAAATACAAATCTTTCCTATGGTTAAAGTAATTATGTACTGTTTTGTAAAGCTGTATGTTGTGTTTAAAGCTATGCTACACTTATGCTAAAGTCTGGGTAATGTTATAGTACTAACCAAATACGTCAACTTCTTTCTTATTGGATCATTCATCCAGGAATGATTCTTGGTAACTTGTGTGTTGGCAAAACAAATATTTTATGGCATCTGTGACTTCATAAAAATAACATGTTTTTCTTCTACACCTCAATATAAAACTATAGCTGTTATCTCTTTGGCCTTTTCATTGAGTCCAATAGTAACAAGTTTACATAGCGGACCAACATGTCATGTGAATCTTCTAAAAATAAACAGTCAGATGAGATCCTGTTATAGTCCAAATACTAATTACAACGTGTCCATTTAAGTGACAACTGTCAATGATTCACTTTGCAAGTTTAAATCTGAAGCTACATCTCGCTAATTTAGCAGCAAAAATGAGTTTCATACCTAAGAATTACAACACAGTGCTGCAGTCATGACTTTATGAAGACCTTTTTTCTTCCTCCTATCTTTCTATACAGTTTGTACTTAAGGCGATTTTCTAGCACTACACATCAACACTACACACACCTACACCCGAGCTATAAAACAGATTACTTTATGATCATTAAAGATAACACATTAGATAACCCGCCCATCTCCAAACAACACACAAACCAAAGTCAAAACTCGCAAGGGCTTCTATCAAACATCACAGACTTTTTGTGAGCATTTAACTATTCTGCATGATGAATCAGAGAATAAAGGATTATTCCAAAGTTTTGCATTTCCTAAATTCTCTTTTTAGAGAACCTAGGACTTAAAATCCTTAAAAATGAAGGGAACAGGACATGAAAATATATGAAAAAAAGAGGATATGAAAATATCTGAGGTATTGACAGCCACAAAAATTAAAGCCTACCACATTCGCCTGGCCTCGAGCCAGAGAGACACTTTTAGAAACTAGGGACATCGCTGAAGGATTCTGGGAATCAAAATATCGATGAGGCTGCAAACAGTAAACCGGCTCCATTAACCTTCAGCTAAATTCAGCCTGACCATAAATTTACACTCAAGGGTTTGTCCTTCATAAAAGTCCCGGCATCAAACCTTACACTGATGACGAAAACCCTCCATTTCCTCTATTTATTATAGAATATGTCTTAGTGTCAGTTTCAGAAGTTTGTTATAGAAGTTATTCTCAAAATGCAGAAGTCTCTCAATCAATCAAGCAGTCAATTTTCGTCACACAAATATGGAGCAACCAGAAGTTGGGATAGAGGGTAATGTCTGAATATTTACTGCTAGCAACTGTAATCTGAACTTGTATGAAGTCAATTTATTAACAATTTGAAAGGTACAGTTCATACAAAGAGAAAAGCCCACGTCCTTGTGTATTCATTCTTCTAAGTTGTATTTGTGTGACTTCATTCAGGATATTCAAAGAAAGTTCAATTGAAAGTTTTTCGGCTTTATCTTTGATCAGGTGCAAGGTCCAGTGGATAATGATCCCACACAGAGATTCTGAGCACTTGTGAAAAGGAGCGAGTCTCCATTCATTATTAAAACTAGCTCAGAGCAACAGAGAGAAGCTGATCATTCAGAAATGCTTCTCTACACCCAACACATTGAGTCAAAGTACGATTCAAAGTCCTTTTCCTGCTCCTAGGATTTGCGCCTTTCCATATCCTGTTTTGAATACAAAAAATGTCAGAATGAGTTTCTTGGAATTCTGAATGAATGCATGGATCATGCTCATATTACAGACTAAAGCATGCCTCATTCCCCAGAAATGTAGAACGAAAAATGACTAACAGCCAACACCCTGGAGACTGAAGGGTCTCTGGTCAGATCACAACTTTGTGAGGAAATGTGGGTGTGCCAGTTGACGGAGAAACATTCATGACATCTCTCAACAGAGACCGTCAAGCCGCCAGTCAGCAAGGCACCAAATACCCAACGACCCAGCTGACCACTTTTATCAGTGTGACTGTATGAAGGTGGATCAGGGTGGGGCTCTGATACAGAGACACTTTGCTGAGATAAGGTGAAAGCTGCTGACTCTTGCAAGGACACTGATTAAAACACTGCAATGATTTAACATTTCAAAACCACTTATGATCACATTACAGCTTCTGAGATCAATGCAACTTAACATTAGTGACACGTTTAAATGATCTCAGGAGAGATTTGAAGCTCTAATTAACTTTTCTTAGCTCAAATCCAATGTATGTGATTCTTTAACTGATTCAATCGTTTTTGGAAGCACATCACGGATGGCTAATACTAAATGTAAGCGCCTTTTTGAATAAAGCTGCTCTCCAGCTGCTGTTTGTCTAAAAGTTTTAAGTTTCTCTGTTTTTTTTCCAGAAGTAGTTCTTCAGTTTGGTCGACTACTTTTTGAAACATTTTTTAAATGCTGCCAATGTTCTGGTGTGACTTGTTGAAGGTTTCTTGGCTGTCACTCTGGAATCCAAGCTCCCTCTCTCTCTCATGTTTCACTCCCATGAAGTCACTTGTCAGCTGCAAGATATATATTTTGCTTTTTAAAAATTTAATTAATTCCTAAACCAAACCACTGTCACAATCCTTTTTGGGACATTTTTACAGTATTCATCAATCTTACCTTGAAGCTGTTTAAACCTTCCTTCCAGCTGGTTGTAGTTGAATGCAGCCTGACCTGAAAAACCAGGGACAGGGCTGAGACCCCTGATGGGGCTGAGGCTGGGGCTCGAACCCCGGATGGGACTGCCGTGAGACGGGCCTCCTCCCGAGGATGGGGACAGAGGGTCGGCATAGTCCATGGTGGGAGAGAGAGGGCTGGGGGAAAGAGGGCCAGGGAGGCTGCTGGTGGCACTCTGAAGCTCCATGATGAAACTCCAGAGAGGGTGGTCAAATATTTAGACTAGACGCGTCCAAAGAGGCATTGAGGAGAGATTCAACAAGTAAATGTAAGAGTTTCCAGGGAGGTTCCAGTTGATTCCAATTGTCTTGATAAGAAGAAACCAGAGTTTGAGTTTGCTCCTCGAGTTTCAACAGTTAAAGATCGAGTCCAGGAGGATCAACTACAGCTTTCAAGAGAATGAGCTTTGCAGCAGCCAAAAGCTCCACCGAGAATAATCCAACAGGATATATGTGTCCAGTAGAAGAAAGCCCAGTAAACAAGAGCATAAAACAAGTTCCAAGAAGCACAGATGAGATAAGGTCAACTCAAATGTTAACCTGGGCTTCAAATGCACTCTTACTTCTTAATTGGTAAAGAAATAATCCCAGATTTAGCTGCAACTCTCAATAGAGACAATCCTAGAGAGCAAAAGAGAGCAACAAAGGGCAAGTGACATAGGAGTTGAACCTCACTGCCCCTTTCTCTCTCTCTTTCTTGTCTCACCAGTGTTGAGGCAGAAATTGCTGGCTCAGCAGACACACCGCGGCGACGGCGGTGGCAGCATCATGCTTCTGTTTGCTCCCCATCCATCCATCTGTCAGTGTCTTCACATATCACACCTCCCCTCCGCTCAGGAATCCACCCATCCTCCTCCGACTGAGGAGGCAGCACAATGAAAAAGTGGAGCAGAGAGCGCTGCACTGAGAGAAGAAGTGCAGGAGAAAGAGGAGGAGATGGAGGGAGGTAGAGAATGAAAGCGTGGGTTTGTCCTCCAGCGTGCAGCATGCAGCAGCTGCAACGGCGGGCTCACAGACACTGAAAACACCTTTCAGACAGAGGGAGAGTTGGGGGGAGGGACTGCCAGGAGGAGCGGCTACTCCTCCAAGCAGCCAATCACAGGCCTTGCTTTTAGAGGTGATGTCATCGACTCTTTAGCATAAGGGGCGGGCAAGAGAGAAATACAAATAGAGAGAGAGGGAGAGCTGATGGCTGCCTGTGATCACACTGAAGATTAAATCAGTCAGTCCTGTTAAAAAGTGATAAGAGGCTATTAATATGTAAAGATGAGAACATGTGGGCAGAATTGAGTTTGAACACCATTAATCCAAATTTGATATAAAAATCAAATGTGTTTGTATTTTGTTTTTTATCCCCCTTGATTGTAAATAAAACAATTGAAATTGAGGGGGATATTTTTACCAGTTACCATGTTAACAAAAACATGAGGCAAATAAAAAAAGTAGAGGAATAGGAACAGGAAGGATAGCTTTAATAATGAGTATGCTGTTCAATTGCATGTTTGATTTAGTCCCTCAAACTTGAATATTGAGGAAACACTTGAACACAGCAAAATTCAAGCCTGTTCACTGTGAACAACTCTAAATGTGCAGTGTTACTGATTTTAATAGTGTACATTACAAGTATAAAAAAAAAGCATAGTGCATGATTATACCCTGTCATATTGTCTAAAAAAGAACTGTTTTTCGGCTTCTGTTAGTTTTTCAATGCTTTTTTCAAATTGGATAACTTCTCCTTTTTAGTTTCCATTTGTTTCCTCCTGAATCCTTCCAGTTATTCATCATTTCATGGTCCTTCAACAATGAATACAAAAAGACTGGATCCGAATTCGAATTGAGTCAATAGAATCTCATTTTGTTTTTTAAAACACCGCTCTGACTGTTCCTTTGTTTTTATTTAGTTCAGGGTCACATCAAAATCTGTTGAGTTTAATGTTTCACCTGTAAGACAGTGACACTTCAATCAGAGTTTTTAATTGTCAACATTTGAACAGGCACTAAAACATCTTTTGCCTCCTACGTTTAAGTGCTGGGTACTAAGCTGCAGCTTAGCATCCATCCACTGAACCCTGATAAATATGACCAGGGAGTTAGTGCTTCTAACGTAAAGCTGCTTTATTCAGTGTTTTTATGTGTTCTAATCTCCTGATGCATTTGTTATAAAGTAGAGGACACCTCTGCATATAATCTGACTCGTCGTAAAAACCTTGTGAAGGATGCAGACTGAAAGGTGCTGCTGCTGCACTACTCGGTGTAAAGAGATGCAGTTTGACAGCTGACCAATCTCACTGCTATGGCGTACAACTTATACCTACCTACAAGCCATCGTTGAAGACACAGAAGGAGCATCAATAAAAAGAGCAAAAGCTGACAACATCCCCTTTGAAATTGAATGTGGAGCTACTTGATACATCCTTTAAAATAGATTTTGCAATTTTCAAGTTTTTGCAATATTTGTGTATCTGTATATGTTATAATAAAGTAATAAACATTGATCATGTGACTGAAATGCTGCCAAAACCTAAAAGTAATTTTAAAGAAACTAATGTATTAAATATTTTTGGAAAAGGCTGTTGGTCAGTAAGTAGAGTCCATCATCTCTCAAACAGAAGGTTGGGGGTTCGATCCCCAGCTCCTGCCCCCACATGTCCGAAGTGTCCTTGGGAAAGACATTCTCTTTACATAGCAGCCTCTTCCATCAGTGTGTGAATGTGTACGTGTGACCTACGGTGTAAAAGCGCTTTGAGTAGTCAGAAGATTAGAAAAGCGTTATATAAGCTCATTCTCCATTTACGAAGTATGCGCCATGTAAACCGATGACACACACGCCAACATTCATATCCTCAGATATTTGTTAGGCATGTTCTTATCTGCAAGACAGCAACAAAAAAGCTTCTGTCTCCTTCTGTAAAAGCTTTGTGCACAACACACTGAGAGTTCATGTTTGAGAAAAACAAAACTTCTGAGTGTGCGCAGTGTTGCTGAAAATGTTGATTCTCGAGGGTGGAAACCAACACTGAAGGACAAACAACAGAGGGAAGAACACAAACCCACAAACACACACACACACACACACACACACACACACACACACACACACACACATGCAGAGGACATATCATGTGAAAATATTTAGTTCAGTTTTGACCAATTTGTCCTGACACCGTGGAAATGCTGCTCCGTCATGCTAATAAAAGTAATGAAGAGAACATGAGACTGTTGAGTGCAGAGAGGACGAGTCCTACCAAGAGGAAGCAGGGTGGAGTGTGTGTGCGCGTGAGTGTGTGCGTGTGTGTTTGGCTAAGGATTCCAGCATTATTGTCCCATCTCATCGCTCACACAGACGCCCAAACATCCTGAGAATATCTGAGCTCTAATATTAGAGCCTGTTGTGGAGATGTTCTTCCTGTCTGAGCCATGTCGGCACTTCCTGTTTGATCCTGCTGTCTTTCAACAACACACACTCACATAACCATGCACCCACAAAGCATCCCACGCCACAAGTTTGCAGTTTTACTTAAACCACCAGGAAAAGACTGCAAGTTTGGAAAGAAGGTGGAGACGCAGAAGGTTTAACTGATGGAGGAGATTCAAGTTCGTTTCCTGAACTGGCTGAACACACAAGCAGCAGCAAAAGAGCAAAGGTTTAAAGGTCATGACTCTGAGACAATACACGGAACAAATAGAAGTAGAGAAACACGTTGAGATAGTTGAGCTGAAAAGAACTAATGTCTTTACCAGCACTCGTCCACCTTTCAACACAACACACAAATAAAGTCAGAGTGAGGGGTTAATGATCACAGAGGATGTGTAGGAGTGTTTCCTTTATAGATTGAATTAAACATTAGTCACCTATTGGTATTTGAAAAGTCAATATGAAGCCCAACGATGGCGGTCGTCATATTGGAAATGCTGACTTCAGTTAACTTCAGGATAATCAGGAAACAGACAAAGAGGTGGAGTTGGGGAAAGATGAATATCAATCAAGCATTTTTCAAACATGACTTGGCTAGAAATTCATCTAGCAAGCATGATGATGAAAACAACAGGAATAAAGCAGACATTTTAAGGTCAGTAACGGAATATTGCTGAAGTGAAGACTAGCCTCGGTTCAAACAGCCTGTCAGTCAAATTAGCCTAATCAGGCAAACTTCTTAATCTTATTATAATCAAAAAGGAGGAGTTATAAAACAAGTTCACATCCTAACAGTTTTTACAAAGCTTTAGAAAAAAGGCTAATTTCTGCTTTAAATATGGGCATTTTATTGAGTTTTAAAAAAAAATAGGGCTTAAAATGGGTTTGATCAAGTGAACTGGAGTTCTGCATAACTATCCCAAGATCTTACAGAAACAACTGCTGTTTTCTCTTGATAAATTATCTCCATATTCCAGAAATCCTAACGTGTTTTATAGGACCTGATAGATTCACCACTTGTTTGAAGAAATAAGATTGCATTTGAAGCCATTTATTTTTATTTTTATATACAAAGCCATATGTCATGTTCATGTTGATGTCAGAGCCGTGTGCACAGGAATAGGACAGATGTGAATGTCTAAGCTGCAGATATTTTGGTAAAAAATATTCTAAATAAAATGGAGTCAACAAAATATCTATTTATTTATACATTTTAAAAAAGGAAGGTAAAAATGATTTCAACGTTCACTCCAACTTGAAAACAAAAGAGTGATAATAGTCAGGTTGAGGTCACCTCTGGATTCTTATGAGGTATCTTCATTTGTTGAAACCATCAACAACAACCAAGGTGACCCGCATTACAAGCAGCCATCAGGTCAGAGGTCAATGGTGTGAGGTCACAGCAAACAGACAACAGACGGTGAAAATGTTTCTGCAGCTGACAGAAACAGTCAGGAACGTTCTTTATGTTCTGTGTATAATCTGTACATGACAATGCGTCCTGTGCTGCCTGCATGCTGAGCGTCACGCCGTGTTTCCTGCCATCATCTGGCTTCCTCGTGGCTCAGCCCCTCAGGCCGGCCCCGCCAACGAACCAAACTCACCATTCATCCAGGCC